ATCAAACACCACAACATTTTTACAACCATGTGATGCCGGGATAATTAACAGCTTCAGGGTGAACTACAAAAAAACTTTTCTTGCAAAAAAATTAGTGATTATGAAGAAGAGAGAATGGAAAAAATTTCAATTAAACATGCAATTAAATTTACAGCAAAAGCTTGGAAAAAAGTTACCAGTCAAACTATAGGAAAAAAACTGGTTTTGTTGCAGCATGCCCCATATGTTGTTGCAATCCTTTCTAATTCTATTACTTTCAAAGTATTTGAGGAAGAGGAGTTTTGCACTCCCATTGTAAATGAATCATCATTTTATTATTTTTACTATAACTATCAAAGTTAATATATCTATTGTAACATGTATTACAAATTAAATCACCAATACTTAAAATTATCACATCCTCTGCTTTAATCTTACTATCTTCTGAAACTTTTATATATTTTGATCCTTCTCTAATTTCTTCGCATATTGTACATTCATCATATAATACCATTTTTGGAAATATAAAAGTCACAAATGGATATAACAGGATTTAAGTTTAAAATGGTGAAAATGTTAGTCTCGGTACGTGTTACATAATCGGAATACCTCTACTTTAATTAATATTAAGGTTTTTTACTTAAAATTACGTAACATAAAAAATCAGTGCAACATTCGAATGTCCACGTACATACCATAAAAGGTGTGATCTTCATGAACCAGAAAATAAAAAATTCACCATCTTCATCCATTTTCTTAAAAATAATAATATAATAATAATATGAATAATATGGCCAGTGACAATAGTGGTAAAAGTAAAGGTGGTGATGGTGTTATTAATTATGATATTACTGATATTAATAAAAACGAAGATCCTAGTTGGACATCGTTTGAGAAATTACTACTATTCAAGATGAATGGTCTATCATTGCTGCAACTTCTACATCAGGAAATTCTTCCCGCCATAATATTGTGTTTGTAAGTTTTAATATGCAATCAATTTATTTTAATCGATCCTTCACATGTCTACGAAAAAAAATAGGGTTATCTTAATAATAAACAGGCTACTAAAGAATGTATTGGTAAAGATGGATTTTTCCGTACCGGAGATGTTGCTTTTATTAATGAAAATGGTAGATTATTGTAATATCATAAAATGAAATATTCTTTTTCATTTTTAATTAACATATTTATTATTATTATTATTATTGTAAAAGGGAAAATTTTTTTGGTCGACCGTATAAAAGAACTTATCAAATATAAGGTTTGCCATTTTTCTTTTTTCTTTTTTTGAAATTTGATTAATCAATTCTTCCCATCACCATCACCTCAAAAAAATTTTTTTAGGGCTCTCAAGTTGCACCTGCGGAACTCGAATCAGTCCTACTTACAAACCCCATCATTTCCGATGCAGCTGTAGTTGGTATATATTCAGAACAAGACGCGACAGAATTACCAGTCGCCTATGTTGTACTACAAAATCTTCCTCCTGAAGCTGCCAATGATCACCAACAAACCAAAAAACTAATTCAAGATCATGTAGCTGAAAAAGTTGCTCCTCATAAAAAATTACGTGGCGGTGTCTACATTATTGATAAGATACCTAAAAGTCCTTCTGGAAAAATTTTGAGAAAAGATTTGAGAGGACGACTTAAGAGTGAATGGGTTCGTCCTGATGATCTTTTTAAATATAAATAATTTTTTTAATAATAAATTTGTCACGGGAATTTTATCTTCTCAAAGTCGCACACAGGGTGAGAAATCCTATTATAAAATTTTTAGGTTCTCATCACTAAAAATTTTCAAATTGACCCGGTGTCCTGGGCCTTATAGGCCACCACTGAACTTTCTGGTCAAAATGTAAAATTTACATTTTAAGATTACTTAAAATTGATGTAAGTGTCCAATCTAAGATTACTTGCTTGAAGCCTCTTAATGACTGCTGAAACTCTACTAAACAATTAGTATGTAACCTGCATCTACTCTGCCAATTGCCAAAACCCCAAATGTGAAGCTCTGCCGAAACTCTATTATTGTGTAACATGTCAAAACCGCCGATGGAGTTTTGGCAAGCAACCATAGTCATATTAATTGATTTGTTAACATATCAGCCGATTTGGTTTTTTGGCCTTTTTAAACCTTGTCTTATTTTGTGTCTTGATGTCAAACATGAGTATTTTTAATGTATAAACTGGTCAGTAGAATGATAATTAACCCTAAAAAATTTATTTGCTCTGCTAAAAAAACTATTTTACTATTCAACAGCCCGTCAAACCAATGAATGAGTTTTTGCTAGTATAAAGTATTCATAACGTTATGATCAAACAAAATCAGCGCATATGGGTATCGTCTTTCTAAAAACCATTTGGACATTGATGTCGATTTAGATATTGATTTTTTTTTTCATATTTAAAAAAGTATCATATGAATAAGCTATACTTTTGAAAAAATTCATTTTTCCAATTCCTTTAAAAAAAATAGAAATTTATATACCTGTTTGTGAGAAGTTTTACTCATTGTATAAACTTTACAAAATGGCTTGTACTATATCAAAAAAAAGAATTAAAGCAGGAAGAAACTAAATGTTCAATACCCAATTGTCACGTGTTAGTTCTGATAGAAGTAAGTAAACAGAGTTGTTCATATAAACAATAACGCTATTTTTAATACTTTAGTAAGATTGCATTTCTTTAGTAGAAAAAAAATTAATCAAAACCAAAAAGTCACCAAGAATCCTGAATCAAAAGACCTAGTTAATACATCATCACTTTTGATTATTGATTCTCTTGCTTACAATATTTCTGTTAATTCATCAAACACTGATATTTGTGATGTTGAATCAGGTAGTACACTCATGAATAGAGAAAAAGGCCAGTACCAACAGGAAACAAACAAAAAATATAGTATTTGGAGTAAACATATTATTATTTTACGTGGAAATTTATTTATTTAATCATCACCTCATTTATTTTTGGAACTAATTATTTTTGACCATTAAAGTATTGACATGATGCTACAGATTGTATGAAAGGTGCTGAGGCTGCTATTAAAGCTGAACAAACAGCCAAGGTTGCACTGACCATTAGTGAAAAGAATCAAGCTACTTTGGTTGAAATTAATAAACAAGTATTTTGTTTGGGCAAGACATTACAAGATTCATGGTGGCAGGTAATAAGCTTTAATAAAATAATAAAAGATTGATTGATTTATATTATTAAATATGATTACAATATTTTATTTAGATTCTCCTTAAAAACTGCTGCATACTCCATAATTCCTGAAATGTGCAAAGCCATTGATGCTGAAGTAGAATTGCAAAATCCACCCCAATGCCAAATTATACAGATGTACAATGGAAATATGTGCTTGAACATAAAATTATTCGTCAGGTTATGTAATCACATAGCTATCCACAAAAATACTTGCAATCACAACTTTGTTGGTGATATGAGACAGACTAAGCACATTTAGGAATTAATTTGGCAATTACAAATATTTCTTTGCGGATTACTTATTATCATACACAATTGTTGATTTGAATCAGCTTGTATTCCAACTTGGAAATGAAATGCAAAAAAAAAAAAACAAACTGAATTTAATTTTATTTGTAAGCGATAACTGTGCATGTTGGACATCTGATAAAAATCACATAATAATTTAGGTTTTTGTAATAAGGGATTATTCCCACCAGTCTCTCTTCACTTTTTTATAAGCCCTGCATAATTAATTAGAAAAGTATATACCACATAAATTTTTTTTATTGTAGATATACTTTTATCTATTTTCAATTTTTTAATTTTTAGGAGAATCCTATTTGTTATGTTGGCGACAATTCATTAATTGATTGAAATAAATAAAAAAATAATAAATTTACAAATATTTATCTATTTTTAAACAATTTTTATTATAAATAAAGTAGATAGATCATTAAATATTCAACAATAAGTTTAAATTTTTCATTTCATTGACGTGATCTACCATCTGAAGCCATACTCTTTCTCCTTGTAGCTGGTTCATGTATAACACCTCTAGAATCTTCAGTTTGTCTAAACTCAAGTATTTGATCTTCAACATGATCTTTCATCATTGTCGTCATTCGATAAACATCAGTATCCTCACGATTATAAATTGCCGCATTCATAAACATTAACATTAGTTCGCGATGAAATTGGTCAGTATTTGTTATTTCCTATATACGTATATACATATATTATACATTGAAAAAAATTTAATTAATCGTTTCTCTATTCTCTATCTTTTCCAATAAATAAACAAATATATAAATATATATTACTCCATCACGAAGACGCCTTTTTAATGTTTTTAAATCTGTTGGATGGTTAACTATTTCATTATAACCAGGCGCATCCTGTTCTCTTATAGGATTCTGAAACAAACTAGCACATCGATGATTGCTTATCTCATGTAATATCATAGACACAAGTTTCAGCCATTTCTTTAACTTTTTATTATCATCATTAGTATTTTCTATATAATTTTAAATTGGTTAATATATAATTAAATAAATCAATTAACAATTAGATATTTTATGCAAGTACCAAACATATCACCAGGCGCTACCTCACTAGAATTAGAATGTGGCGTTTTTATAACTAATAGGGGTTTTTGGAGGAGGAAAAATACCATATATATATATTGTTATTTTTTACATTTAAATTTTATAATAATAATGGATAATAGTAA